CGCCACCGCCCAAATCCGGATCATTCCGATTACTTTGCGTGAGCTCGAGCCGAGCCTCGTTGCCATAGAAGCAAGCCCCTTTCCACTCAATAGAGCCATTGTTTGGAGAAACCGATCCGATGAAATAGGGCAACAAGTCCGCAGCACTGTGGAGATTGTTCAGCACCGGCCAGGATACCTGATGCGGGAGAGCCGGAAGCAGGTCCTTAACCTTAAACGGGACCTTCAGAGCGTGCCCTAGCCCTAGCCCTACAAGGCAGAGGAAAATCAACGACAACCTCGAAGCGGGCGAAAGAGGAGACATGGAAAGGGGCTTGCCGCAACTCTGGAGCTGAATCTAGAGTTGCAGAGAGAGAGGGAAGGAAAACCCTAACCTAGGGCCGATTATTGAGTTTCAGAGTTGGAAATTTTTGGTACGGCCAAAGGTGTTTCTTGCCGGTACTCCATGTGAGGACTTTCTTGAGTTGGAAGTTTCTTGGCTATTTATTTTTTCTGATTTTGGGAATTTTTACTTTTTAGTGTTTTTTTTTCTTTCTTTTTTTTTTTTTTTTTTTGATCTGGGGATTTTTTTTGTTAGTTGATAAATGAAAAATGTTAAAAGATACATTAAGCACCACCGTCAAATAAAAAATAGGTCTTATTTGTGAGTCTCATATTATGAAATTCATTTTAAATAGTGATACACGTTTAGTTCATGGATTAGAACTATTTTTAATTTATATGTATTTTTATGAAAAAAAAAACACTATAACAAATTATGAATCATAATTCAAATTATGATATGAATCTCCTTACCAAACGTCTCCAACATTACTCTTAATAAATATGATAATAAGTAATTGGCACAAATAATCTCTAACTTATTCAAGAAATGGCAGTTTGATTCTTATTTTTTTTTTAATCAGAACAACTCTTAACCTTCTTGAAAAGGTCCAATTCACACCGTTTCATCTACATCTGTTAATTTTTTCACAAAACATCTCACGTGACTGCTCACATGGCCTTCTTAATAAGAGTATAATCGTAAAAAGACTATTGAAAACACACATTCAATGCCAAATCCAACGAGATTTATATATTCAAAATTATGATTTAAAATTATTTTTATATTATAAAAAATACTCTAAAAAATTAAAAATCATAATTTAAAATAAAAAATGAATAAAAAAACAAACATCACGTAAACCTCCTACACACTCTCATTATTCCTTCTTCACTGCAAAAAGGTCGAAGCTCTAAATTTTTAGAGAGAAATAGGAAAAAAGAGCTTCTAAGCTTAGAAAAGAACATGGAAGATTTTTCTTCCGGTGACGGCGCTTTTTCAGCCCCCAACGATAGACGATTTGGCATCGCCCTACCTCGTGGCACCTGAATTCAGAAGACCTTCAACAATACCTGGATTACCATCCTCTATGGCTTCGTCGCCATTCTCATCCTCCATGATATAATCGCCGTCGGAAACATTGTCGGCTCCGAAAACGACACCGCCAACCGTGTGATCATCGAGGAGACCAACTAAATCCTCCTCAAGATCCACTCCAACGGTGACCCCAATGATCCTGACAACTTCACTGGACGGAGATCAACAATTTCAACAATCCCGGAGTTTCTATATTTCGTTAACGGTTTGCCTCGGATCTTACTCAACCGCCTAAGCCTTGTGATAATCCAAATATTTATCAATACGATCGATTACTATGGACTCCATGGGATTGAGATTGTATATAACATAGCTTATTTCGACAAAAAATTTACTGGTTACTGGGCATTGAACACGGGTAGTTCCTGTTTCGAAATTGTTAGTGGCCTTTGGGAAATCTATCTTTTTTTTCTTTTGTTTTTTTTAATTATTGTTTTCAGTTTTGATTTCTTTAATCCTTCCAATTACAAACAAGGGCAAAATTGTATTTCAATGTTATTTGGATCAGAAGAGGGATCACGTGGAATATTCCGTGAAAAATTAACAGATATAGGCAGAAATGTATGAATTACACCTTTTTAAGAAAGTTAGGGAGTATTCTGCCAAAATTAAAAAAATAAGGATCAAATTGTCATTTAATGAATAAGTTATGGATTATTTGTGCCAATAACTCTATGATAATAGGTGCATTGAAAATTCCACGTTGAAGAAGACGAAGCATACGTGGTGATAAATAAGCATACGTGGTGATAAATGAAGCATACGAAAACGAAAAGGTAGAAGGCAAGTTTATCCCCAAAAAAAATAAAAATAAAAAATAAAAAATAAAAAATAAAAAAAGAAAACGAAGCACAAAGATAATTTGCAAAAGCTTGAACTTGAAGCCTCCATCAATTATTATGTCGTTTTTCAGCTAGAAAAAGTGGAAAGCAGGGAAGGAAAGAAAAACGTGAAACAATAATAGAAATTTGTAGGAATGAAAAATTTACTTTTGCCTTGTATATTTAGAACTTTTTCTGATAAGATCTTTCCTAACAGTTAAATTTAATTAAAATCATATTAGGTTAAAAACATATATATAATTTACATTTTTTAATACATATCTTGTTAAAATTATATCAAGATAAAAAAAGTATATATAATATATAATTTTGAATACAAATTTAAAAATTGAAAATAAAAAATCACTATTCACTAGTAATTTATTTTTATATTGCTATCAAAAAAATTCTCTAAAATAATTTAAATCACATGTTTAATTTTTATTGTCTCAAATAATATCTAACTATTATATTATGTCATACTATTTAATTATCTTAAACATTAAAACATAGAAAAACATTTTAATATTTTAAAATGTAAAAAACGACAAAAAAATGAAACGGCATGTTGTTTGTCGTTTTTAGAATTATGCAACGTCTTTCCCGTTCCTTAAAAAAAATAAATAAATAAGAAAGTCATCTTTCTCAGAGTTAAAGTAGGATTATTTTTATAAATATTTCAGAATTAGATATCTTAAAGCCCGTTTAGTTCGTGGATTAAAATCATAAGATTAAAATTATTTTTTATTTATTTGTATTTTTTATGAGATAAAATATTGTAATAAATTATAAATCATGATTCGAATCAGATAATAAATTTTCCAACTAAACAGGCTCTTAGTTCAAAGTATTCTTAATATTTTAAAACAGTTTAAAATATTTTTTAATTTATAAAAAAATGTATTAAAACACTCTTTTTGTCTACTTATGTCTATAAATTTAACAGAATTATTGATGCAACGTATAATTAAAAATTAATTAATATCTTATTTATTTTATAAATTTGAGTTAAAATTTAATATTTTTTAAGAGAATAAATGATATTTAAAATTATTTAATTCTAAAAATTTTTCTATTGAGTTATTTTTACAAAACTCTCAAATTAAATGCTTAAAATAATAAAGAATAAATAATTATATGAAAACCCCCTTTAACAAGTTCAAGATATCCGGAAAAAAAGAGAGAAACAAAAGAAAAAAAAAAAACTCCATTAACTATTGAAAGCCCCTGACCCTCCACAGCACCACCACCCCTAACCAACGATGGCCACTAACCATCCTGTTTCCATCGCCGAAACCCCATATCCACCCACTTCCGGCGACCCAGCCCGCCTCCAACACCCTCACAACCCAACCATAGCCGACGACTCGGTCCCTCAACCACCCTCGCCCCTTGTTTAGAGAACCATCTCCGCGCTACGAAGCTCGCGCCAGCTCAGTCGAGGAGGATGAGAAAACCCAGAGAAGTTGGAGCTATGATGGCGAAGACAGATCTAGATTTTTTAGTTCTTATGCTATAAAATTTCTCAGTTTGAATTTTGCACTGATAAAATTAATCGACTTGAGATGGAGTTTTGAAGATTATGATTTGTGAATATTAGGGTTTTGGGTCTTGGATTCAAGTGAATAAAATGGGTTTTCACGGTTTTCTTGAATAGGTGAAGTTTTTTTTTTTTTTTTGATAATTGTTTTTGTGGGCTATAAAATTTTTCTGCTATGGCTTTTGCAGGTTTTTTTTTTTTTCCTTTTTTTTGAGAGAGGTTTGCAGGTTTCTTGCTAAGGACATAGCTTGAGGTTGAAGATGATGGTTGGTAAAGGTTTTTTTTTTTTTTTTTTGTCTGCTCTTATCTTTTTAATACTTTTTGTTTCCTATATTAATTAGAATAGAATGCTTGTTAAATTTTAAATGCTCGCCACGTCAGTAATTTTGTTAAATTTATAGACGAAAGTGGGTGAAAGGGGTGTTTTAAATTTTAATACGTTTTTTATGGATCAAAAGCGTTTTAAACTGTTTTAAAAAATTAAAAGCACTTAAAATTAGGGTATATTTTTGAAAATAATCCTTAAAAGTGTTTGTTGTCACTTGTTGTTACTGAAGATAACTTGTCCGTTTTTAAAGTTCCAATTCTGCTGTCGTTTGACCAAGAAAAACGACAAAGAAAGTAAAACGGCATGTTGTTTGTCTTGTTTGGAATTACGGACACTCCCTTTTTCAAGTGTTTGCTGTCAGTTGTCACTTATTACTAAGGATAATTTGTCGTTTTTAAGTTCCAAATATGATGTCGTTTGAACAACGACGTATCTTCCCAGTGTATATGTTTGATGTTGTTTCACCGCAAAAGGGTCAATTTTAACGTGAAAATTGCGCTGTTGTTTATTGTTTCAACGACTTGTCGTTTAAGTTTCAGATGTGCCTTCCTTTGAAAAATAAACGACGTATCTTTTTAAGTTTGCTGTCATTTTATGTAGCAACCCGATATGTCATTTCCTTTGTAAAAGCTGTGATGCCGACATGTCGCACATGGAAGAAAACGATGATAGAAATGAAACGATAATGTTTGTTCCTTTTTACGTAACTAGTTTTGAGGACGTGCTCCATACGTGTTGAGTCACCTGACTAGTCTATTCGAGAAACTTATTTTGATTTTAAGCACACAATAATAGAAGAGATTAAAAAATAAGTAAATAGATGTATAACTTTAAACGTGTATAATTTAAACAATTAGATTTTTTTTTTTAAAAAGACATCAAAATGTGTGTTTCAATTACAACTTTGAGCAGAATGTTGGTTAGCCAACGCACCCAAGTTCACATCCCATAGAGAAAGCAATTTGAGTAGCACGGAAGGAAAAGCGCACTTCCCTCCACCGCCACGGGCTGCCGGAAAGGATTTAACTGAATCTGCAAAGCAGACGAACATATTCGGGACCTGATTAGATTAAGTAGTATGGTTTTAATGCTTTCCGAGTATGACAAAACAAGTGTAGTATCTGAACTTACAGGACGAGCCAGAGGACAGCCGGTCACACTAGTTATGCAAGAAGCTCCAAGATTACATGCTTCTTCACAATAATCAGAGAAAATTGCTGGGATGTTCATCTCTTTTATTAGCTCCTATGGCAAAACCAAACAAATGTGAGAGGAAAAATTAAAACCCAATAAACACAGCATGAAGGAGTAAGATTAAAACATACAATAGTAGGTAACCAACTGGGATAGGCTGCAATGCCGGCATTTGGAGCAATGATTAAATGGGGAAAAGAATCCTGAGCACATAAAAGAACTTAAAATGAGAAGCAATGCAAGTATCAACGAGGAAATGGTATTCCAAGACTGAGCATACTTCTAAGAAAGATGAACCTAATGTGTGTATAGAAGATAGCGTGCAACCTTTGCCATATCTCTGTAGCGATCGTGATAAAAACCTTTCCGGAGATTCAACGTTATTATTGAAGTTTTACTAGTGTGTACATCCCAGCTGACACATTCACTTGATTTGCAAACGCAATCCATGCTTAGACAACGAGCGTATTTGCATAGAGTGATACACTCACCGTCCCTATTCATCTCAACAGAGAAAATAAGAGAAATTACAAGCTCATTCATAGACAGCAACCAGAATACCTTTGAAGCTAGCATGTTTCATCTTCAAGGAAATCTAGCATGCAAAAAAAAAAAAAAAATGATAATGGTGTCAAAAATAATTTCATTACAAAGTGTTCTGACCTACTTTGTGGAACTGCAGGACCAACCAGCTCAATATGCACGTCTAAACCAGGAAAAAGCACGTGCAGCTCTGCAAAGACAGCAAGCTGCAGCAGTTCTTTCTCTGGGCCTGCAGAAATCAGTTTATGTGGCAAAACTAAATTTTCAGTAAACTGGTGAAGGTTTTAGTCTGAGATTTAACCATCAATAACTTGAAATTTCTAAATACATGTCTTTAAAACATTGTGGCTCAAATGATAGAATTAAGAAGATTAAACACACTAGTTCTTTTTTTTTTTTTTTTTTTCATTCCCCTATCATTAAGACTTTGACATGCAACTTGCAGCAAAGAAAGCTTACCAAGATAGTGTATGTGCAGTTTTTCATAGATTTCAAAAATCCTGCTTCCCAAACCAGTGCGAACGGCATGGTAAATTGTAAGAGGCTGAAAGAAACACGAAATGGGAAAAGCTAACTGAAAAGGATTGCTTGAAGAACAGGCAAAAAAGAACAATGAAGATTGAAAACATAAACGAAATAGCAACTGGACAAGTATATTGTAGCTTGATTCCAAATTCAAAGGCACTTATTTTTATATCTATACTTTTATGTACTCTTCCTAAAATAATTATATACTTGTAAAGAGGCAACGTAAAAAAAAACTCTAATTCTCCTTGAAATACTGAGACGCACAGCATACCCAGTGAAGAAGAAGAGCAACAGGCGAATTTAGTGGAATGCACCTCCATTCATAGTACTCTTTCCAACTACTTAAATGCTTTGATATTGGGGACTCAGGCTCTGCATTTTCATAAATAAATACTAATACATCAAGTCTTACTCCGAAAAGAAAAAAAAGAAGATGCAAAAGATAGTACCTTTACATGGGCACAAAATATCTGGAAGATCCCAACTGTCAATTAACCTGCCAATGTAAAATACAATTAAGGCCCCGTTCATCTCGCTAATTTGAATCACAACTCAAGTTTTTCCTAAAACGTTCTCTTACAAAAATTTAAATTAAAATTTTTTCTATTTTTTCTCACTTGAATTTCACTTTTTAATTCAAGTTCTCAACTCGAATGAGTAAAACGAACGAGGCCTAAAAGAATGGAATACAAAAGTAGGCAGCTAATTGGACAATTCTTTTTTTTTCAAAAATAAAATGATAAATACAGAAAAAGAAAATAGCAAAGAAACCTTGAAGAATCAAAGGAAGCAAGTGATGTCCCGCAATGGCATTCATACAGCCACATTCCCAGTTGATGGATGTTCCTTTTGCTCAAGAATGAGCATCTTGTCACCTGCTTTTCACAAACCTAACAAAGTACAACTCAAAAAATTAAATAAAGAAACAAACAAGGGAAAGCTTTTTTTTGCTAAGAAAAATTGTTAGCTTTACCTGGACCGTAGCTTCAACAGAAAAGGTGAAGGGAAATTCATTCAACACATCAATGTGCTTCATCTGCTCCTCTAATCTTTTGCACTCTTCTTTATGCTCACTCCAATGTGAAATCTAGGATCATCACCCCATACAAAAACATCATTTTTGTCAATAAGAAAAGATGAAATAGTGAATGCATTAAAAAAAAAAATGAAATGAAAATTAGTATATTATACCATGAAAATTGAAAAACTACTGCCCATTTAGTATATGGGTTTAAACTAGGATTCAAACCAGGATTATTGATTCTGAATTTTAAAATTTAATTTTTTTGTGAGAGAAAAACATCGTAGCAGAACCAAAACCATTGAATTTGCACTATAGCACAACCCATATATCAAACATACACTGCATCTTTCACCGCTATAGCAATTTACTGGCTTTTTGTCATTCATGTTTCTATACAACAAATCCCCTCTTTTCAGCTTATCAAAATCCAAAGCATAAATACACATACACCAAAAAATGCATATACAAAGGATTTTCGGTTGACACCGTCACATGTATGTTTCTAATGTCATTATTACACAAAATAAATACGAAAATTTGAAATAATACATTCACATTTCCCATACAAGCTCGACCGGTTCCACATGAAACTGAGATAAAAACCCGGTTATGGATGATTTTTGTAAGCAAGAAGGAAATTCACATAAACATGAAACAGCAAACAATTATGAAATCATGATTGATTGATTGATCAGAAAAACAAAAATCACCTGATGAGAGGCGGAGCAATAAGCAACCGCTCCGCAGCTACCACATCGTCTTCTGGCTGGGCCCACGCACCGAGTCGCGCGTCCCTTCCACGCGCACTCCATTTCCGGTCTTACTTTCCTTCACACTTCCCACTTATTCTCTCACCAAGGTTAAGCTTTGGTCTGTTCTGTTACTCTCTCGGAGCCAGAGGAACGAGAATCAGAGAAACAAAGTTCTGGGCCTTAATCGTAGTTTTGGAGCCCAATAGAAGAGTATTCTCTAACATGGGCCTGATATTGAGAAACGGACCCAATCTTAAAAAAACTAAACTAAGAAAAAATTACATGACCCAGGTTGATTCGAATTTTTAATTTGAATTAAAATGTGATTTTATATGAAAATTTTTTATTATAACAAAAAATTAGATATGATTATTTTTAAAAACTTTTTACTACAACAAAATTAAAATTTTAAATTCAAATCGGTGAAATAAACAATACTTAAAAGTGCACGAGTCTAAACGTTTATTTTTTATTTTTGATAAATATCTTTTTATTAATATAATTATTTAACTAAAAATATTATAAATTAAAAATAAATGATAAAAATTTTGACACATATACTTTTAAAAGGTATTTATCATAACTAAGCGTAATAACAACGTAGTCCATTAACTCCTGGCGTTTGGAAAGTCGTATGACGTAGAAGTACACAGATTTATTAGTGTTTTTTCTTTTTCCTATTTTATAGTTCGTTTGAAAATCAGCTGGATCATTCTTCCTTACTTTCAGCTGTAGAAGATTTGCTACGCAATTCAAGCTTTAAAAAAGAAGAAGTAATAATATTAAACAAAGAGTGAAAAAACAATAATAAGAAAATATTTGAAAGGCAAGGCTCGTGTGGAAGGTGAGTCGATAAGCAAAATAAGTCAGACCACCAATATCCCTATGAATACGATTCCTGTGTTGAGATTATAAATTACCAAATCAAAAATGAATCACAATGGGATCTGTTTTGGATTGGCTTAAGCCTCTGTTCAGAAGATTCTTTGCTTTTTTTTTTTTTTTCTATTTCCTAGTGACCACTTTCTCAACTATCAAACTGGAAAAAAGGGAGGCCAATAAGGGTCCGTTTACTTCGCTGATTCGAGTTTAGAATTCAAGTTTTTTTACAGTAAAAAATTCTCACAAACAATCACATCTAACTTTTTTATTATAGTAAAAAATTCTCACATAAAATCACATCTCAACTCAAATTCTAAAATCGAATCAACAAAGTGAACGAAATTGCTTATTAGCTTTCTTTCGCATGCAATAAAACGACGTAAACAAAAAATTATTAGAAGAAAATTTTTTTTTCTCTCTTTTGGCTTGGACACTATATTGAGTATCGGAGTGCTTGTCTGGCCTGTAAAAAACCAACTAAGGTACACTGCTGGAAAGTTATTTTACTTTATAATGACTATTTTTTTAATAAAAAAAAAAACTAGAGTTATGAGATGTGACAATATAACGTTACCAATTTGATACGCAAATCACAAAATTGGACAAAATTATTTGGACTGTTCTCTCACTTCCTTTGTTCTGTGGCAAACAAATAGAGGGTTGTTTTTCTTTTCAAAAAAAAAAAATATATTATAATTTTTTGTAGGCTTGTAGCTTTAGACTCGATCTTGCAAATCGGCAAAAAGATAACTCATATAAGCATTGGCTAATAAAATATACGTAATTTGTTCAAATTTAAATTAGTTAGCTGAATTGTTGGAAAACCTAAATATGATTTTTAATTTTTTTTGGGAGAAAGAGAAAAATAGGCTAAGACTTGAGATGAATTAAAACTAATAGGTCAATAGTTTACATAAGTTAATAAATATGCTAAATTACTGTTTTCATCCATAACTTGTCCAATTATGAACTATAACTTGACAAGTTATTCTCAGTTTTTGTCCATAACTTGTCTGGCTATGAACCATAACTTGACAAGTTTGTCCATAACTTATATGGTTATGAATCATAACTTGACAAGTTATGGCCTATTAATTTCTATAACTAAAAGTTGGCCTATATACTTTCTTAAGCTTTTCATATTGACTTATTTCCTACTATTTTCCTTTTTTTTTTTTTTTTTTTGGGGTCAAGTTCAAAAAAACTTTTCTATGTGTTCATATGAATTAAATGCAAAATCTTGCACAATACTTTCCTTTCCTCTAAGACCCTCCAAATCTTCTTTTACTGATAAGGAGCTCAATCTTATCCTAAAACCCAATCTGAATGATCTGATTCCTTGTCCATATCCTTAAGAAGCACGCTAATATTCCTAAAATAACCAAGCATATCCCTCAGTTGTCCCTCCCATATCCTCCAAAGCTAGGCCTTCTCATTTCTTGTTCCGTAAAGAGAGATCCAAAGCATCCTATGGATATCTGCTAGTACAAAGAAACATCAACAAGAAAAGATGCCCCCCCAAATATCACAATCTCAACTTTTTTGAAATAAAGATAATGACAAATCTTCTAATGAAAAGAGACAATAAATAAAATAAAATAAAAATTTGCAAAGTATCTTTCATGGAAAATTCTATGGTATAGCAACATACTTACTATTAGCCGTTGATTTTGAATCACTCTTTACGGATAAATAATTTTTGAGAATTATATGATAAGGTATAAAAAAAAAATTATGATCACACACAATTTTGAATCATCAGATCAAGAAAAATATGACATTTTAGATAACTTCATAAAAATCTAACAATTTATTACCATGTCTTACTGTGTTTTTTGTTTTTTTTTTTTTTGATATACTTTACCATGAAATTCTCCGTTTTTTTTTTTTTTTTTATTAACCCTTTTGAAAATAAAGATGATTTAGCTCTTTTTAAGGGGAAAAGGATGGAGTGGGACTTTAGGGGTCTACGTTTCTATGATTCTCTTTGAAACTTCAATTGATGCATAAATCTGATCGGATCTGATCCATAGAGTTAGTTCAGTTGGTCGGCCATAACTAGCAATTTACCAATGATGGTGGGTGGGATATGTGCATGTGTTATGTACATGTATATGAGCCATGCTCATTACCCAACAACCCACACACCACACAATAAAGTTTATGATATGAGCCTCACCCAACGGGGAAGGGTACGGTTATGAGCCCACACGCTCTCCACGGTCTTTTTTATAATCATGTAAATTATAATTATTTTTAATTTACGTGTATTTTTTATGAGAGAAAATACTGTACCGAACCATAAATCATGAATCAAATCGGAGTACGAATCCCTCAACCAAACAACGAAAAACATTAGAATATTTCACACGTTCACATTCTACTGTGTTCTTTTTTATTAATCTTTTTTTAATGTTGTTGTTAACAATTGTGTAAGATGTTTTTTTTTTCCTTATAATTAATTGTGTAAGATTGTCATTAAACAACATTACAAGCTGTAATCATAGTTTTCTCTTTTTTTTTTTTTTGTATTTTCTTGATTTGATTGATTATTCAATCCAAATCCTCATAAACTTCACATACGGGTTTTTTGTAATTTTTTTTAAAGAGTTTGAATGATCTACATATTCTCTTCTATTTATTATCAGACCAATTTAACCTATTAAGAATGAAAAGATACCCCATGAGATGACAGTAAAGAGAGAATAAGGAGAAAAGGAAGAAGAAAATTTCAAACCACGATACTCTAAAATCTATCAAAAGAAAGAGGGGAAAACACAAAAAGTGTTTTGAGCATGTAATATTATAAACATTTTTTTTTTTTTTCTTTTTGGGCTAGAATAGTAGGGAATTGGAAATTTTGTGATTGGATGTAAAAATACTCTCATAGTATGATACAATTCTTAACTACTAAATAGCAGAATAACATTCGATTAAAATTTAATAATTTATTTTTTAAAAACAGTGTCTTTTTTATAATTAAAAGAATTTCCAAAGGAATTATTGGAGGCGATTTCGGAACCACTAAAAACAAGACAATAAAATTTCGTGGGTCCAAGTGATGCCCCCCAAATTTGCGATTCCAATTTGACTAAAGCGAAAGGGCGTTTATTTTTTCATTAAAGAAAAAGAAGTCCTTGGGATAAGCTTTTTGGTTTGGTCGTTTGGCTTTGCTTTTCATAATTACAAAGTCAACCAATTCTTAATACGCCTTTCAAATTCAAGCCAAATATTTCCCAAATATTTTATAGGCCGGGACTAGTCTTGTTTACGATATTTATTTATAAATTTAAAAAAAAAAAAAAAGGTGTATTAGAAACACAAATGGGTTGGGTGTAAATGCAGTGTACCTATTAATGCTAGCAGTTGGAATGTATCCTACACCTTAGAAAATGAAATGATTGTTAAAAGTCTTTCAAGTCAAGCATATTTGCAAAAAAAAGACTACTAGGCCTCATTGAATTGCCTTTGGAAGATTGCGAAACCAATGGCTAAAAAGCTAGGCCCTATGGCGACAACTCTTGCATGGGAAATTCAAAGTCGGGGTATGCTTGTCCCCCATAAGAGTGATAAAAAAATAATAATGAGTTTTTTTTGGTAGGATTAAAAAAAAAAAAATTACTGATAATTTTTTACTTTTCAATCGTTAAATTTATATTAAAAATTATTTATTTTATATATTTTTTTAATATAGTGTGATTTTAACTAAATTTAACGAGTATAAATTAACCCTACTGTTATGCCGGTCTATCAAAGAAAATGAAAAAAAAAAAAAAAAAAACACAGAAGACAAAGAGGCAAAGAGGTAAGCATCTTGCAGGATTTAGGCAGTATTGGTAGTGGAGCCAGATTAGCCTAATTGCCTTTGCCTCCTATAGGGTATCCAAAGAGGTTGAAGACCAGAGAATTTAATACTACTAACTTTTTATCCAATCATCTTTTTAAGTTATGTGATACAACATTTTTTTTTTTTTTTTTTTTGGGTGGGAGCCAAACAATTATATATGATAAATTGTAATTATTAGCATAATTAAACTGGCTTTTTTAGCGTTGCTTGGAGAGGGATAAAGCAAAATGAGAATACATAAATGAAGAAATGAATTATGAGTTTGCTTTTGACTCGGAGGGGAGAATCACAAAATTTGCGCAATAATGCTAATAGATGACGGACAAAAATTAATTTAGCCTTTGAGAAGGTGTATAAGTTGACATCAAGGGCAACTGGAAAATAAAAATTATATAGAGTTAGGGTTAAAACAAAAGTCCGTTCAAATCTCAATTTCAATCATTATGTTTTTCCATGGCTATTAACGATTAAAATCTACAAGTCAAATGTCTACAAAGCTATAAGTACTTATAGACATTGATCATTGCTGAATCTAAATACCATCATATAACATTTCAAGACAAAATAAATTACAAAAATAAACAAATACATTATCATAAATATATGCATTTATATTGTCACATTACATTACACATTTTTTTTCCTGTTCTAAAAAAATAGACGGTGGGATTAAATGACAAAATGGTAAGCTATTAAGGTTATCTCTCACTCAACGAGACTGTGATTTTTTTAAACGGTGTAAAATATAATAAAATGATAGATACTTGTTTATATATAGTTTGGTAGAAACATACACCTATATTTCATCATCTCATAAAAAAAATCCTATCTTGGTGACGTTTTATGGCCTCAGTCCTATGATCCTATCTCATATTCTTGGACATAAACTTTAAACATTAGAAATGGTTTGTTGGAAAGGAGACCGGGGGAGTTACCTAGAAATAAAACCGAAAGTTGGGATGAGCAGCTCGATGAGTATAGGCGTCAGATCAAATCCATGAAGGAAAAAAAAAAGGAGAGTTTTTTTAAAATGACTAAAAAAATGAATTATCGGTAGTTTTAAGTATGTTTAGTTCGTTGATTCGAATTAAAATGTGATTTTATATTAAAAATTTTTATTGTAGTAAAAAAATTAGATGCGACTGTTTTTTAAAGCCTTTTATTATATCAAAACTTACATTTTAAACTCGGTTTCTATATTTTTTAATTATTAAATTTATATAAAAAAATTATATATTTTATTAATTTAATGTGATTTTAATTAAATTTAACTGATTTTGTGGATAGACTAACCTATAAGAAAGAGTCTCAAAAAAAAAAATTTAAGTTGCGAGAATTGGTAAGCTCATTAAGCTCAGCAAAATCTTGGAAGCCCAAGAATTATATATATATATATATATATTTTTTTTTTTTCTTTTTTTTTTTTGGAAGAAGTCTTGGAAGATTTTGAATTTTGGTAGCAAAAGTCCAAGCACAAAAAAGGGCGAAATCTGGGTCCCGCAACCAGATTTCTTTGGGACTCCCAAATCTCCTCAATTCTCTCTCTTGTCGCGTTGGATTCTGCCCAAAATTAATTTTCCTTTCGGCTTTCACAACAATGAAGATGGTCCATTGCCCACGAGGTTTGCTTCCTTTTCCTAGCCATTTGTATTATTGTCTCATTGATGTTTCATCTTTCATATTCTCGCCTTTCATGACACGTACCCTCTACAAGTTTTAAGGCTATGCACGCGCGTTTTTGCCCCTAATCAAGACCATATTTACAATACTACCCCACAAATCTTACAATAAAAAAAAATTCCATATGCAAGATACTATAGTATGATACTATACGTATTTTTGTACAATGCATTTTCTTATTTTTTGTATTTTTCTTTATAATTATTTATTACTTAGTTTTTTATTTATGAACTACAAAACACGAGGTAGCACGTGTAAGATGAGACGGTGGGGGGCTTTGAATGAACCGCATGATTAATAATGATTTTGGAGAATATAATTAAAGAGAGAAAAAAAAAAAAAGAAAAAGAAAAAAGAAAGAGATACAGATGCGATGCCATATCTTTCTAATATATGTACACAAAAGGGTAGAAGAATAAAAAAAGGAAATAAAACAGAAATAACCAAAAAAAAAAAAAAAAAAAATTTGACTGATTAAAATTTGTAAAAACTTACTTTGGATTTTTGGTATCACAAATTTGGAGCTCAGTTCTGGCTTTGTCAGATTTATGACACGGAAAAGAGAGGGGAAAAAAAAAAAAGAAAAGAAATCGCTAATTCTTCTAAGAACTCACCGGTCACTTTACAGTTTGTACGAACAGACAAGTAGACGTCACCGGCAAAAGGCAGTAATTTCCTCTTTTACGCAGTGGAGTTCGGGACTCGTGTCGGTCACTGCCAATATTGGGAATTTGCCGGCGCGGTTGATCGTCGATTGACTAACGGTCAACTCCCCCCACCATTCACTCCCTAGCTAGCAAGGTCAGAGCCCGAGATTGACCAAAATATCGCCAACTCAATATATCGCGATATATCGAGATAAACAACAGGCGTTGTCCTTGCTTTTGATTTGGAAGATCGCACCAAAGTGGATTTCAGAATCTCAGCGTTATGGCTTAGAATTAAAAAAAAGTAGATTTGAGATTTCTTAGAGAGAGAAAGATTTGATTTGCGAAAGAGACACGTATTATTAAGAGAGAGGCACTCTCTCTTTCCATGGAGAGACAGATGGACAAAGAAAAACATATACATTACAGCGTATAAAAACGACTGGCCACAGAAGCTGTGTAGGAAATATACCTCACCTTCTTCTTCTTCTTCTTCCTCTTCTTTTGTTTGCCTCCTCTTCAAGGAAAATTTATGTACCGAACAAAAAAGCAAAAGGAGGGGGAAAACTAGAGAGAGAAAGTAGAGTGAGAGAGAGAGAGGTAGAGAAAAGTTTGAAGGATTAATTTTCATACATCGTCATGGCGAGGAACGGCACCGTTTCGTGGCGGAGGAGGTCGGAGAAGGTCGACGGGTTTGAATTCTCGCCGGTTGATTCTGAAGAGGTTCACGTTCTCGCCGTCGACGACAGCCTCGTCGATCGGAAGGTCATCGAGCGTTTGCTCAGAATCACTTCTTGTAAAGGTCCGTACGTACGCCTTTGAAAAATCATGCGTTTTGACGGATTTGGTGAATTTTTCTTCTTTTATTGATTTTTGAATTGGATTTTGGCTGGAATCTGCAGTTACGGCCGTGGACAGTGGAAGAAGGGCTTTGCAATTCCTCGGATTGGACGAGGAGAAGAACTCCTCTGTTGGCTTTGATGTGAGTCATAACTCATAACAATTTTACGAAATAGAAATCGATCGAATTTTCTGTTTTTGCTCAACAATTGAATTCCTTGTTGAAACTTTCAGTGTTTCCATAATGCACTGATCATCTGATAAACATCATTTTAGGGTCTGAAAGTGGATCTGATCATCACTGATTACTGTATGCCTGGAATGACCGGTTATGAGTTGCTCAAGAAGATCAAGGTCGCAAATTTTTTCTTTTTTTCTTTTTTTTTTTTATAAAAAAAATGCACATTCAATTTATCATAACCAAAATTGATTACCGAAAAAAAAAAATTCTTAAATTCGTGAATCTGTAATGGTGAACAGGAATCGTCTACTTTCAGAAAAAAAAAAAAATACACATTCAATTTATCATAACCAAAATTGATTACCGAAAAAAAAAATAAAAATCTTAAATTCGTGAATCTGTAATGGTGAACAGGAATCGTCTACTTTCAGACAGATACCGGTGGTGATTATGTCATCTGAGAACGTATTGGCGCGTATAGACAGGTAAATTATGCCTTCAATTCCTTTTCCTAATCCTAATTTTCTTTTAAAGATTGAACTGTTAAAATAAATTTTATTAGTATTAACTCCTTTAATTATTGGTTAATTTTGGGGCAGATGTTTGGAGGAAGGGGCAGAGGATTTCATAGTGAAGCCGGTGAAGTTATCGGACGTGAAGAGGCTCAGGGATTACATGACGAAAGAGGTCAAAATGGGAAATGATGGGACTGGTGGGGCCAACAAACGGAAGCAACGAGAGTCGTTCGATCTGTCATCATCACCGCCGTCCATTTTGTCGTCATCGCCGCCGTCGTCGTTATCGTCGCCTTCTTCGCCGTCTCCGTCGCCTTCGAGATCACCTTTGTCGTCGTCGCTATCGGCGCCTTCCTCGCCGACGTCGTTAGATTCCCCAATCCGACGGCTCAAAACGACCAACACTGATTAGATCATCAGCCTAAACTATCCATAGATGAAGAACCCTGCAATATCTGCAATTTCCTTTTTTTTTTTTTTCCCTCTTTTGGGTCAAAATGCAATTACCCGTTAGTCTTAACGGTTTTTGTTGCACTGCCATTTTTTTTTTTCCTTGGCGTTCATTTATTTTGTTTGTCGATAATCGATATCAAATGACTGTGATTTTACACTATCACTTATTAATACTAATTAACCGAGTACTACGTTATTATTGTTATTATTATGCCTCTATGAAGCTCAATTAGTGAATTAAATCTCTTAAATTGAAATGTGGAGTTGGGACTAATTTATTATGGAGACTAATTGTGTAACTGAAAAAATAAGAATAAATAATTTGCTTGACTATAGCAATTAAAGAAAGGAAATGAAAGGTGAAGTTTCCACTCTCTTTTTTTTAGGGAGTTTATCTGATATTATTGGAAAAAATAAAATATAGGTAGTTTTTTACTTTTTAAGTATGATATATGTATTAGAAGTTGTATGTTTTGTTTATTTTTTAATTTGATGTAATTTTAATTAAATTTAACGGTTAAAAACTTATTTTTATAAGAAAAAATAATAAAAATGGGAAAAATGTGAAGGTGAAGAAGAGGGTGATGTGAAGTGGAAAGGATTTGGTCTGATTGGGACTGAAGGTATGCAAGATCTTGTCTGATAGAGGGAATATTATAACTGGATTTGTTAAGTGGACATGTTTGAAATGTCCCCTATTGGACGGGCTCTCGGGGCTGGCATGGGCGGCCCCATCGGCTCGAAACCGCAGTTTTCTTTTTTTTTTTTGGGTTGGAAACCGCAGTGGTTTTCTCATGTCTGGATGTCTCTTTAGGAGAGCTAATCTCAACAAATATTGCCCAGCTGTCAAAGGGGCTTGGGTTGATGAGTTGAGACCTACTATTCACTCATATTACAAGTTTGTTGTGGTCCCCCAACACTCTTACCGCGGATTTCCCTTATGTAACTAGGTTGAAAGATTAAGGGGTTGTTTCTTTTAGAGTGTAACTTGAGTGTAATTTTTTAATTAAATTTGAGTTATAACTTGAGTTGAAATTGTAACTTGAATAAAGTTGAGTAAAGTTGAAATTTAAAAGAACGTGAACTTGAATAAAGTTGGAACTCGAGTTGTCTTTTTTTGAGTTTTTTAGACAAAAGAACATGCATTAAGATTTCATTTATTTTATCAATTCGAGTTTTATTACAGTAAAAAATTATCAAAAATAATCTCATTTAATTTTTTTATTACAATAAAAAATTTTCAGATAAAGTCACATCTCAATTCGAATAAACGAACTAAACGGGCTCTAACTTTTTAATTATTTTATATTGAGTTGTAACAGTTATTATTTTGATAATTAAAAATCATTTTTTAAGAAAATGTAATCATTGACGACAATATTATTCATGTTATTATTATTGATAAGTGTGGATGACGGTCCTTTATTGTAATATACTTAAAAATGATTTCTAATTTTTAAAATAATAACGGTTACAACTCAATATAAGATAATTACGTTAGTTCTTCATTTTTAAACCGTGGGATTGTAACAAGTTTTTTTTTTTTTTAAGAAAATAAAAAATGAAAAGTTCTTTTTTGGTGAATTATTCTACGTACTGTTTATGGGATATGGCTTGGATTCTCATAGCTGAGAGATCATTGTCGTTGGACCCTCCATGAGAGGGACAGAGAGAGGCACCTCTTGGCTTGAGTTTGTTGTGGATGTGGGGGATTTGCCTGCTGAGGCCGTCACTTTTTTCACAGGTTTTCATAAGGAGGTTGTGGAAAATGGGTTTCATTTCATACTACAAAATGTACCTCTGGAATAATCAAATTGCAGAGGCATGAAAAATGTTTGTCAATTAGCATCTAGAAAAACCTTTTTTAGTTTTGTCACGTAGTGCTCTGTCAATTGCCATTTTTTCCCCCCCTCTTTCCTTTGTCTTTCGAGGGCTAAGGAATGATTCAAGTTACAAAAAAACAAATTGCAATTAAGAAAAACGTTCGTCACTAGAACACTTTTTGAGACGAGTTTCAGTTTCGAGTCAAAGCCACAAAATAACACTTTTTGAAAAAAAAAAAAAACACTTATAAATAGACTTTAAAGCTTATACTAGAGGTTCATTAAGGCATTGTAAACTTAACTCCAACACATTTATTACTTATTATAAAATTTAAAATTAGTTTTGATCCATTAACTCTTTTTTTCTAAGCACTTACTGAAACGTCACAATTTTTACTTCTTTTATTCGATTGACTAAAAACAAAAGCAAAAATCTCGTCAAAAAGAGTTTGTTTACAAGAGCTTGTTAAAAGTTGCTTTTAGCATTTTAGGTCAAAACGTTAATTTTAAAAATATTTGGATGATCCGTCATAATAATTTTGGTTTTTTATAAGAGCTTTCAGTCAAAACTAAATGTGACTTTGACTCAAAGCTCTTATAAATAAACTTAAAACTTACATCAGAGTTTCAACATGACGTTATAAATTTAGAGAGAAAGAGAGAAATAGGTCAAGACTTTAGATGAATTAAAATTAATAGGCTAATAGTTTACATAAGTTAATAAATAGGTAAAATTACTGTTTTTGTCCATAATTTACTGGTTATGAACAATAACTCGACAAGTTATTCACAGTTTTTATCAATAACTTGTCTGGCTATGGACCATAACTTGACAAGTTTGTCCATGACTTATCTGGTTATGAACCATAACTTGACAAATTATGTCATATTAATTTCTATAACTAAAAATTGACATATATACTTTCTTAAACTTTTTATATTAGCTTATTTTCTACTATTTTTGTAAATTTAATTCTAATATTTTTATTTTTTATTAGAAAATTTTAAAATCATTTTGGCCAATTTCATTCTAAGCTCTCTTAAAAATATAGTTCAAAATACTTATCAAAAAGACACAATTTTAAAAGTAAAAGCAAAAGCTTCAAAAGAGAAAAAGAAAAAAAAAAAAAAAAAAAAAAAAAAAACCTCAAAAAAAAAAAAAAAAAAAAAAAAAAAAAAAAAAGCAAAAGCTCTGTCGAGCCAGGGTGAGCCTTCAACTGACTGAAACTTCAAATGCCTGCCATTTGTTTGAGTGGGCTGGGCCTTTGAGAAAAGGACACAACAGGATAATAATGGGCTAAGCCGAGCTATGCAAGGCCCAAATAGCTGCCATGCACTCCAATCACTAAATGGTAAGCACCTTCCTCACCAAATCACGAGCCACCGCCTTTAAGAGGATTGGGATGTTGAAAATTCAAGGTTAGAAGTTTTGAACTTGGCTCGACGATATTTTTATTCCTGCTCTTTCGTTTGCACTTGAAGGAATGAAAACATGGTAGCTCATAGATTAGCCATTTAGGTGCTCTTGTCTCTGTTTGTACTTCCAAGTATGAGAGTTTTTTAAGAGTTCGTTTAATTCGTTGATTCGAATTTTTAATTTGAATTGATATGTGATTTATGTGAAAGCTCTTTACTGTAATAAAAAAGTTAGATATGACTGTTTCTGAGAATTTTTTACTGTTACAAAATTAGAATCGGTGAAATAAACAAGACATTAATTCTTCTTGTTTATCTTTCTTTTGAGTGAGTTGTTTTGCTGGGTGATTGTTTTGTTGGCCTTTTGTCATTTTGTGTTTCCTTGGAAAAAAAAAAAAAAAAAAAAAAAAAAAAAAAAGTTATCCATGAAACTTGTAACTTTGTTTGTCCGAGTCTCTGATTATGAGTGTTTCTACAAGTTAAAACTAACCTAAGACAGACGACAAGGAAGGGACAATTCCTTCTTCTTCAATTTTAATAAACAATTACCGGAACAAGACAAATTTAGCCTTGTTGTCAGCCTGTTACTAAAGAGGATAAAATTAAAAATTGCATCATACAACCCCCTTTCCCTCTCAAAGGGAAAAAGAAATTGCATTATTAAGCCGGCTATTTAATGAGTTTATTAAAATGATGAAGAGGAAAACATTTGCAGCTATTATATCTTAGCTCACTATTTATAATGAATGATGAGGTACTATGCAGCTATTATTTATGCTCGGGGTGCTATTTTTAACCGTTGATATAGTAGTAATAACTAGGTAGTTATTCTTTGTTATTTACTTTTTTTTTTTAATTGGAAGGTAAGTATTGAAATGTTCATTATACAGCATAAAAGGTTTGCGTTTGCTGCCTCTCTTTCTTTCTATTTTTCCTTTTCTTTTGGGCACCATATTGGTTAGTTATTTGAACGAAACTCACACAAATGAGACAAATGAGCAATAGCAATGAGTAAAAACAAGGAGAGAGACTTGGCTCATATTCAACACCAAAGTTAAGATTTTGGATGCGTTTATTTCACTGATTCGAATTTTGTTACAGTAAAAATCTCTCAGAACAGTCACATTTAACTTTTTTATTACAATAAAAAGTACTCACATAAAGTCACATCTAACTCGAATCGGCGAACTACGCATGCATTTTATATTTCTAAACTAAAACCCCAAACAAACAAAAGAGATTAAAGAGAGCAAAAACAGTCACTGTAGAGCAGTCAGACCTCTCAGGGAACTACTATAAGGGGGTTTAGAGAGTTTTCTTCTTTAAAATAATTTTTGTTTTTGGATAATCAAGTAATGAACCAAATCTGAAGATTTGCCCACCTACTGCACAACACATGTGCACAGTGCAAATAGCTGAAGTCACCGCCGCGTATGCCAAACTTGTTCCCAAAATTAATCTGGTGAGCCACTTTCTCCATCTCAATCTCAAACACAACACCACTATTCAAAAAAAAAAAAAAAAAAAAAAAAACACTATTATATTAATTAGCCCAAATTAGTTAAAAACTCCCGAAAGTGAGAGGTCGTTGACCAATTATTTTTCTTGTCCTTTTCCAAACTGTTATTTTAAAGAGTGCAGGATTTTGCGCGGGGCGAAACTTTCAACTACAGTTGAATAGTTATGTCTGATGAGGTCCCCCTTTCTGGCCCATTTGCACATTCTTTTGAGTGATATATTGAAAGAGAATTTTATTATAGAATATGAAAAAAAAAAAAAAAAAAAAACAATATAGTTTGAAATTGTATATTACACTACAATTACATTTTTTTTTTCAAAAGAATATATAGATAATTTAATTGAATTATTATTATTATTATTATAAGAATTAAGACAAACCGTTTCAACAGTTGCTGCCCACAATTCTTATAGTTTGACTTAGTTCTAAACCACTCCATCTACCTCCCTACTTGCCCAATTAGATAATCCACTGGAGGAAGACTATTTTCCCAAATTTACCCAAATGCCCTTTTATGAAACATTCCTTTCTTTATGCCATCAAAAGGGTCATTCTTGTCCATTGACCTTGAGCATATAAAAGGCCCGGAAAAGGATTACTAAAGGAAACAACAACCAACTGCTTTGTTTGAAAGTGTCAGCAAACCAAACCCCAAACGCATCTCTCTCTCTCTCCCTCCCACTCCAATGCCTAATATACCAAAAACCCACAACGGATTCAGTTTCATTCCTCTCTTTCAAGCTCAATCAAGAAGAACAAAGTCCCTTCCATGGCTGACAAGATTCAGCCCTGGATTTCTCTCTCTTTCTTCTCCCTCTTCTTCTTCTTGTTTCAAGGTTTTCTGTTTTCTCTTTGTTTTGGCCAATTGGGTCCTCCTCAAAACACTGAAACTTTCTATCCCATCACAATCTCACCCCCTTCTTCTTCTCCTTCTCCAAGCAATTCCAATCAAACTCCTCCATTAGTCTCTCCCCAAACTCCGCCGCCCAAGCCGTCGTCATCGAGCCATAACAAGATAGCGAAGGCGGTGGCGGCTACGGCCGCGAGCACCCTGGTGGTCACCGGTTTGGCCTTCTTGTTGATCCAACGGTGGATCGTCGCGAGACGGAAGCGAAAGAGCAGCGGTGGAAACATCGGTACTAATTCGAAGCTCGACGGCTGCGGCGGCGGCGGAGGTGTTAGGGCTAGGTCTTTGCAGTCCCGGAGTGAGTTTGTTAGATACGAAGGAGATCTCAAGGGGTTCATTGTGGACGAAAATGGTCTTGACGTGCTTTATTGGAGAAAGCTCGAGAGGAGAAACTCGTCGTCCGAAAAAGGTCTCAGAAAAGAGGTTTTGCGTAACAATCTGAGAGCTAAAGAAGGTTGTGATGAAGATGATGATAATAATGATGATGAAAGGAATGTGGTAGATAATCGTAGAAGTAGAAGAAAGAATGAAAAGATTCAAGAAACGCCTCTTCTCCGAGGGAAGTCTTCGACTTCACATGTAAAAGTTGTACCGGAAGTAGTCAATAGTAATGGAATTAAAACTTCTTCAATTCCACCAAAACCAAGTGTTGGAATTGTCTTCAAGGACGTCCAAGAACCAGAATTGGAACCAAGCCGGTCCTCGTCCGCCTCTCCTCCTCCTCAGCCTTCCTTGCCACCAACACCGCCACCACTGCGGCCTGCGCCTATCTCTGCAATTCCTAAGAAAAGCCCTCCGCCGCCTCCGCCGCCACCTCCGATTCCACCCAAGAAAGCTCCTACTCCGCCACCTCCTCCCCGGCCCAAGGCGCGCAGTTTGAACTCGTTGTCTAAACCGCCTCCGCCGCCACCTCGTAATAGAGAGCAAACCTCCGGCGAAGGCACGTCCGGGACAGGAAACGGTCAAGTGAAATTGAAGCCTTTACATTGGGACAAAGTCAACACCAACCCCGAGCATTCTATGGTCTGGGACAAAATCAACGACAATGGTTCTTTTAGGTACAAATCTATCTATTAAATCAAAAGAAAAAAGAAGGAAATAAATTAGTTATATTCTTAACGGCTAGTACTTTTTGGTACATTTTTTTCAGGTTTGATGGAGATCTTATGGAAGCACTTTTTGGATACGTAGCCACCAACCGAAAATCCCCAAAAGAAAACAAGAATAACAACAACAACAACAACAACAACAACAACAACAACAAAACACAATCAAAATCTGGTCCTTCAGCTCAGACATTTATACTAGACACCCGAAAATCTCAGAACATTGCCATTGTACTAAAGTCACTTTACGTGTCTCGCAAGGAAGTCATTGACGCCCTCATGGAAGGCCAAGGCGTAAGCCAAGAAACTCTCGAGAAGCTCTCCAGAATCACCCCAACCGAGGAGGAGCAATCCCAGATCCTCGAATACACCGGAGACCCGATGAGGCTCGCCGACGCCGAATGCTTCCTCTTCCACATCCTCAAAGCCGTTCCCTCCGCTTTCACCAGGCTTAACGCCATGTTGTACAGGTCTAATTACGGACCCGAGATTGTCCACCTCAAGGACTCCATACAGACGATTGAATTGGCCTGCAAAGAGCTGCGAACACGGGGCCTTTTCGTAAAATTACTCGAAGCCATTCTCAAAGCTGGAAACAGAATGAATGCAGGGACTAGTAGAGGAAACGCGCAGGCTTTTGATCTCACCGCGCTTAGGAAGCTCTCTGACGTGAGAAGCACAGATGGCAAGACTACTCTGCTTCATTTCGTCGTCGAGGAAGTCGTCCGGTCGGAGGGAAAGCGGTGCGTGATTAACCGGAACCGGAGCTTGAGCCGGTCCCGAAGTCAGAGCAGCAGTAGCAGAAGCTTGAATTCCGATAATTACAATCAAACGACGTCGTTTAAGGAAGAAAGAGAGAAGGAATACGTAATGCTCGGCTTACCGGTCGTCGGAGGATTAAGCTCGGAGTTCTCTAACGTGAAGAAAGCGGCGAGTATCGATTACGACAACTTCTCGTCGGCTTGCGCAACTCTTTCGACGAGAACAAGGGAGATTAGAAAGCTCATTGTGTCGCAATCGGTAAAGGGTGGATTTGCGAGAGAAATGGAAGATTTTATTGAGTCTGCTGAGGAAGAGGTTAAGATGGTGGGTGATGAGCAGAAGAGAGTAATGGAGGTTGTGAGGAAAACGACGGAATATTATCAGGCCGGGACTTCGAAGAACAAAGGGGCTCACCCGTTTCAGCTGTTTATTGTAGTGAGTAATTTTCTGGGGATGGTTGATCAGGTGTGTGTGGAGATTGCTAGGAATTTGCAGAGGAAGAGAGGGAATATTGGGAGTGGTGTAGCTTCTTCGCCGAAGTCGCCGCCGCCGTCGAGGGTGGCGGTAAGGTTCGCGAACTTGCCGGAGAATTTCATGTCCGACAAGTCCTCCGGGAGAAATTCTAGTGACTCAGATAATGAATAATTTTACGTTTTCATTGGTGTACATGAAGTAGGAAAGATGGTTTAGAGTTACAAGGTAAAAAAGGAAATCACTGGAGTTATTTTTTTTGTTATTATTATTGTTTCAAAATTTTTTCTTTATTCCTAAAGAGGTGTCATGCAAATTAATTATGAATGTTACGGTAGGATATGAAAAAATATCCTATTGAAAAGCTCTATTTTGAAGATTATATTAATTTTGTATATATTTTTTATTTTAATATGATTTTCATCATATCAATATTCAGAAAAATACATTAGCAATAGTGAAGCCCTACTGTAGAAAGCTCCATGATATTGTAGTTTTTTTTTTTTTTTTTTTTTTCCCTTTTGAGTTTATCCATCAACATTTTAGTAGGAAGTTTCAAAATATGTGTCTAGAAGATATTGTTCAAAGGGTGGTAACTGGTAAGCGTAATCTTCCTTGTAACAAATCAAAAGGAAGAAAATGATAGCATTGACTATGTCAGAAGTTAATGACTACAAGTAAGAGAAAGCAGCCAAAACAAGCATCTAGACCTTTTCTTTTTCCTTTCTATTAAAGCACATGAATGTCTTTAAAGTCAACTGAATACTCATTGGTCTTAACACTAATTTTAGGGATATTAGTTATCCTTTCTGAACAATTCATTGTCTGACAAGATTGAGAACAAAATGAAGTTTTTTTTATTTTTTATTAAAGAATAAAATGAAGTTATAGTCAATGTTTAGATTTGCCAGGGATAAATACAAATCAAATCAAAGTCTGCCAAGGATAAAATGTTTAGTCCTGTTTCGCGTTTACCCTTAATTTGTGTATCTAGAATCCAATGAATGTAAAGTGGTTTTTGGCTCAATTTATGATCTTAAATTCTTAATAGAAGTATGACCCAACTCTATATTAGCAAAAAGTGAGAGTTTGGCGTTGGTCAACTCAGCAGCATAGTTTTACTAGACTAGACCTCTACGCGTTTCTGAAACCAATCACACCGACCCATGACCCCATACTCTTCAAAACAAAAGAAAATATACAGAAAGAGTTTGCTTCTGTCGGTCCCCAATAAACGTCGGTCCCCAATACTGTTTTTCCTTTGCTTCTGAGGGCTCAATGTTTTGTTTGTTAAAGTTTTCTTCGCGCTGTGGAATGGAATCTGTACTTATCCATTGACCTTCTTTTTTTTTTTTTTATTTAATAAAGTGGGCAGTCTAATATAATACTTTAACAATATGCATGATGACCAAAAATTGGGAGCTTCACCACAAATATTGCAGTCCAAGGTCAAAATAAAAAATAAAAACAAAAAAAATTCTGTTTGCTAGAAAGTATGGAAGTATAATGCACTCTAACAGCACAACTGATTATACACATTAACAATTTTCTTTCCCCCCACACAACAACAAATGAAAAAAAAAAAAAACAAAAAACAAAAGTTTTTCTCTAAATCATTATATGAGTTTGGAAAATTAGGGGAGTAAGAAAACTAATAAGTTGAGGGTGAAATGTGGCATAATAGAACTGACCCAATTCAGCTTTTTTTGGTTCACATTTAAAGTGCCCCCACCAACAAAAGAAGAACCAAGTTACGTGTGATCTTTTTTGGCCACTGAGATGCACAGAATTCATAGTGTAAACTCATCCTTTATTGCTTTTCATCGACAAAGCAATTCCAATCATATGTAGCAAAGACCCCCCTCGTTGTGAAGCAATTCCTTCTGACATATGTCTTCCTTATCCTCCAACTTTAAACAAGGCTCATAAACGTGTATGTCTTTCTTGGTAAATGATGTTGAGTTTTCGTCCTGAGTGGGACTTTCACCGACGAGTCTCATTCTTGGAAGGCATCTACATGAGAAGATAATAACATTTTCACATTATTACATTTCTAAGTAGAAAAATCCATGACAATGACAAGAAGAGACATTTGACTCGTTAATAATATAAGGCAATAGAGCCCTTAATCCTGGCTTAGAACATTGCTTGGAAGCACGTTTAAGGCAAATCATAAACAACTTCATAAGAAAAGTGCCTTCCAATGATGCTGAAAATTGTCTTTAGAAAGTGGCAGTCTCTTTCGGACAATTGACTAATGCCCCAGAAAACAGGTAACGTTTGAGACTATTTGCAGTGACTAGCGGAACATGGTTCTTGGCTTTTGATGAAGTTTAGTGTTTAAATTGACCAATTAGACGTTCAGAATATAGAAAACCAAAGATTCCCTTTTTGGATGTGATGAGTTTCTGCGTTAAAAAGATTGTTAGAAAATGCTAATATAAAATTAAGAATAGATTTTACTCCTAGGGGTTAAAAAAAATGTGGGAGAGGTGTTTTTTTTTTTTTTTTTTTTTTTTAAAGAAAGCACATCACATCGATTGTGTGACGGTGTAGTTCATTAACTGGACATAATTAACAACAAAAGAACAAGAATAATGAGAAAGGATCTCAACTTTAGTCCCAATTTTTTTAATACTAACTGACATGCTATGTGAGTTATATAGTTGTTTTAAAAGATTATCACGTCAATTAATATTAAAAAGTTACATCTATCAGTTAGAAGACGAAAACAAACATCCTAGGTAAGTTGGTACCAAAATGTTGAAAAAAGTTGGGAGCCTAGCACTACTCAAACGACAACGACAGAGACCTCTCCACCTCACTACAGCAACTAATACTAATTTACAGCAAGTAGATTGTTTTCAAATCAAGCTTTTGATTCCAATTACAGAACAAAGTTTCTAGAGGGCCCATCTGACCTACCAACAATATGAAGGTTCTAGAGAGATAAGAATGTAATATATTACCAAAAGTAGGCAGAAAAGGTATAGCACCCATGTCATGTTATCTCTAGGTGATAAATATGTGAAAGTTTACCATAATGGAGTCCAAATGGCATGGGACCTCTCAATCTAATAATTTGAAAAAGGATATGTTTAGTGATCAAGAATAGGTTATGCTTATACCTTATCCAAAGTGCTTTTTGACGTTTTTTGTCCCCGATAGAAAGCTGGCATTGGAGTGGCCTTAAAATTAAGGCTCTGCCTTAGCTTTTTTATCTCTGTCTCCTTTGCCTCCTGTGTCAAGCTCAAGGTTTTAGTGATCAAGATACACCATTACTGTAGATGAATATATATAATTGTATGGTTTAATAATTTAAGACTGTAAAAAAACTAACACAAAATGATTACGGATACTATACTAGAACTTGAGGTATTTTTGGTTTATATTGTTTAATATTGACATGGATTAAAAAAAAGGACCTTTGATCTTGATTGGAGGCATGTTTTCTCCTCCTCTATGGCATTGGACTTCTCTTCCAGTTTCTTTGAAAACTGAAAAGAATCAGTCAAATGGATATGATAAGATATGCAGAAACTTGAACAAACTGTAATAAAAAATTTCAACAGAAATGAACTGTAATAAAGATTTCAACAGAAATGAAGTGTGCGAGCGTAAAGTGTTCGTGAGCAAGTGAGAGAGAAAACGGGTGCTTCAACTAAATACCTCTTTTCTTTTCTCCGCTCTTTCATCACTTTTGAACCCAAATGAGGATGGAGGAGTCTTGACACTTCTTTTGTCCAGACGATCTGTTTTGAGTGACCTATTTCAGCATGGCAATCACAACGCGAGCAATTATAACACGCACAAAATTATATTGTTGAAAAACTCTAAAAGCTAAACATTGTTCCTACATTGAACAAGATACAGCGATAAATTAATTCTTCTATCAGCCTAGTTTTTACAAGACAATTTAAAAAGTTCTTCATTTAGCAAATCTTAAAATATAATGCCAAGACAATTTCCTTTCAAATTCTTCACTAATATGACCCAACTTTTAAATGTGTATAATGCTTAGACAATGACAACAATAGAGATTAGCTGATGGATTCCTGTTGCATTTGTACTACTTTTATCTGGAGGTAGGGCTGTACGAGGAGTGTGCGGGCGCCTTATATTTTCATACAAATAGATCAACAGGTCATGCTGCAAGGAAAATATGCGTACAAGAAACCAAACCAAGATACATGTTATATTGCAACTGTTAATTAAAACATTACCCAACATTCTCTTTTCTTGGAGTAATAGTAGTGGAAACCTTTGGTTCTGGCCTCTTTGTAGTCACCTGCACCTGATTGTTGAAAACATTTTAGAACAGAAATTAATTTCAACTTTTTCATAAAGGAAAGCATTCAAGTAGTTTTTGACTTTGAACACCAAACATGAGAAATGAATAAACCTGCTTTTGTAATGAAGACCCGTCATCGCCATAGGATCTCGCTTGGTTGAAATTGTTTTGGAATGCCTTGAATGCTCGTTTGACAATGTCCTTATCCCCCATTTTCTCCATAAATAAAGACTTCCTAGGTGTGGTAATAGCAGGCAAATCCAAATTCGCCGGTGAATTCAAATTCCTGGGACCTAAACTGAGGGACATGTGCAGAGATTTAGAAACAACTTTCTTGGTCTCTCCAGAAGAAGGATTCTTGTTCCTCTGCAAGGATTGAGTAATAGTATTGCTCTTCTTTGTTGAAGATTGTGATGCTGGTGATACTCGGCTCGAAATCTGTACTGGCTTTGACACTCTAGGGGTAGAATTAGAACTCTTTGGTGTTCTAGTTAATTGAGAAACTGGCTTCTTCTTAGCTTTTGCCACAGTTCTCTCTTTATCCACTGCAGTAACCTACTCATATCAAAATGGCAAAAAACATATTATGAGACACGGGATTCAATTAAACTAGCAATATTTACACGAACACAAATAGAGTATTCACCTTTTGAGGTTGATTCTGATCAACCAATTTCACCTTTTCCTCTTTGACCTTTGAATCATATACTAACTCACTCTTCAAACTCTCTGGAGCTTCCATTTTGGGTTGAGAATCAATAGAAATGGCTTCTACTTCCTTAACAAAAATATCATCTTGTTCTGCTTTGCCCAACTTAGGACTAGCCACCCTTGTATCAAGTTCCCCCTCTCTCTCAACCACTGAAATTTGACATTCTTCACTAATTACAACTCCCAATTTCAGATCGTTGATCTTTTCACCGCTCATCTTCTCATTACTCAAAATGGGTTCTTTCTTAACTTCTTCTTCAACTGAAATTTGGTCTTCAGAGACGTCAATTCGGGCATCCTTGGAATTTGTGTTTCTGATCAGATCTCCCCCATTTGGATCATCCTCTTCATTATCCTCTGATCTCATGGAATCATTTTGAGCTTGCTGCTTCTCTTGCTCCAAAAGCTCAGCCTTCTTAGCAGCAATCTTCTTGTAATGGGCTTCAAAATATGCCTTCTTCTGAGCAACAGAACCTGGTGTGGCACACTTCTCAACCTCTTCCAAGTACTTATTTGGTGAGAAAGCCGACCATTTCTCCCATGATAATGAATCATTCTCAAATCTACCGAATGAAACCGACACTTCAAGAGCAGGATTTGAGGCTGTTGTCTCCCCCACCATCTGTTTTTTTTTTTTTTTTTTTTAAACAAAAACAACAACAAATAGAAGAAACCAAAATCCAAGCAAGAACAAAAGAATGACAACCCACAATTATAATTTGGAAAATAATATATTTGAAAAAAGAAAAAACCCACAAAAGGAATAAAAGCATTAATATGGAAAAGCAATAATCAAACAAAAAAACACAAAAGGGTGTTACCTTATCTGAATCTTTTGGAAGATCCGCTAGTGTTTCGCCCATAAATCCTCTAAACGAAATTACTATTTGAGTTTAACACGCCAGGACAGAGAATGTGAACGCCATGGTTGTATTGTAGACTAGAATAAAATCCACTGGGATCACAGTCACACAAAAAGGGACCAAGATTAAGAAAAGAGAAAAAAAAATCACAATGAAGACAAAAAGGAAGGCTTCTTCTGATGAAAAAATGTGGCCAAAAGAACAGAAGACAAGTGCATGTGTTCTGTTCTATTCTTCTTGTTTTCTTTTTCTTTTTTCACTGTACTTCAATTATTACTTCACACTTTTTTTTTCTCTCTACAGTAATGAGACTCTCTTTGTTTGTTTCTAGTACCTTCGAAAGCTCAAATGATGCACCAAATTATTAACACGAAAGGTGAGGAAGAAAGAAAGGAAGAGCAAAGCTGTCTTTACTCTTCAGCTTTCACTGCTGTTTTCTAGTTTGACATAAAGTTGAATAATGAGAGACTTTTGGTTTGGGACTACATATATAATTATGGAAATAAATATATTAACAGGAGAAGATCCGGCATATGATATAGATAGATTAATTGGCTCAATTATGAGATTCAACTTTCAAGTGCAATAAAACAAATTACAAAGATTTTAAAGTTTTGATCTTTTTGGCAAAATCATCCTCCTAAAAACCATACCTGTAGATTATCTCAACTCAAGTCTTCAGAAAAGACCCCAAAAAAAAAAAAAAATTAAAGACATTGATGAGATTAGCCATTAGAAATAGAAGATGGTAAGGAAGGGCCCACCTGGGAGTGGAGTGAGAGAGTATTACATGTGACATCCTTCCTCTCCCCTCTCTCTCTCTCTCTCTCTCTCTCTCTCTCTCTATATTAATTAATTATTCAAGCCTACTTTTCCCCTTTGTGGTCCCTCCCTCTTGGTTGAATACCTTTAACCAAAACCATATCTCAACGTCATCAACACCAAAAATGAGCCAAATATATGATGCAACGACGTCGTTTAGCTGTTTCTTGTGTATATACGACGTCGTTTCAGTTGCCCCAAGTGGTCTTTTCATTTCCAATAAAACTTCGGCACATCATCAACCACCTTTGTTATTACGGTTCTTAGATTGTCTCATGGTCTTTCCTTAACTTGCCTTGTGTTTTCCTCCTCTAATGCCTCTTAAGCTACTCAATCACCTTTCCTACCACACTAATCTTCCTTAACAATCACAATGTAACATTTGCTATATATAACTATATACACACACATATATATATAGATATATATGTGACATATAGTGTATATATATAATCTCTAAATCTCCTGACCAAAGCCATGAATTTGAACTCTCACTCCTTAAGCTTTTCACAACAAAAATCCAACATGAGTGGCAATCCATATTCATCCTTTCTGCTTCACTTGTTCTTATGCCTATCTGTTCTAATGGTCCGGGCCAAATCCGACCCAGATCCGATACAGGACTACTGCATTGCTGATAATAGAAGCCCACAACCTTTCTTCATCAACGGAAAGCCTTGCATCGACCCAAATCAAGCGAGCTCCTCACATTTCGTCACGTCTGCTCTGTCAAAGCCCGGTAACACAAAAACCAACCGTTATGGGTACAATGCCACACTCACCAACACGGTTAACTTGCCTGGGCTCAACACATTGGGCCTGACTCTGGCCCGTATCGATATAGCGGGTAATGGCCTATATCCGCCTCACTCCCACCCACGGGCCTCGGAGGTGACAACTTGCCTCAAGGGGATCCTTCTTGTGGGCTTTGTGGACACGTCCAATCGTCTTTTCACACAACAGCTTAAGCCCGGTGAGTCGTTTGTGTTCCCAAGAGGCCTGATCCACTTTATATACAATATAGATTCATTGGGCCCAGCAATGACCCTTTCTGGGCTCAGTAGCCAGAACCCAGGTACGCAAATTGCTTCACTTGCCACATTCACATCAAATCCTCCAATTCCAGACTTTATAATGAAGAAGGCTTTTCAGATTTCGGACTCAGATCTTGCCAAGATTAGGAAGAACCTCGCTGATTGATTGAGTGCATTATCAAGTGGTTATATTTCTTTGTCAACAAATGGCTATATTTTTATTATAATAATGATTTATGCAAAGAATATTGATGAATCAATGTATTGTAGATAAAACTATCATTGTATTTATTTGCCATTTTTGTTATATATAAAGTTTTATACAGTTCAGCTCAATCTGTAACTTGGAAATAGGCGTGGAAGCACAACAAAATTATACTTTTGGGATCACCTATTCATTATAATTAAAGGGACATTTGTTTCATATATTCGTCTCTGATTCTGAATTATGATTTATGGTTCTCTACAGTGTTTTCTCTCACAAAAAATATACGTAAAACAAAAATGATTCTAAATACATGAACCAAACGTCCTCTAAAATGACAAATAGTTGATATTATTATGTATTTGTGAATTATGATTTATGGATCACCTGTATTTATGTATTTGTTAATAAAATGACAAATAGTTGATATTATTTAATGTATATCGACAGAAAGGTATTAATTCTCTAACAGTTCAGCCGATGACTGTTCTTCCATAGCATCTGCGCTAGATTCTGCCTTGTATCAGCTGATAAATAACTGTCCTACCAAAAAAGAATTGTGTGAACAGAAGGCATATGAACCTTTGCTTCTCGGTTGGTAAACTAGACAAATAATTATTACGAAAAGAAAAAAAAAAAAAAGATGATCAAGATCAGGTGCACGGAGTTACAGAGAGACCGGTGGGGTCACAGACCCCCACTGAGTAAGCAAAAAAAAAAAAAAAATCCTCTGTAACTTTTTAATAACTTTTTAAGAGTGATAATTTGTATCACGTGTCATATTTTAATCATTTTTTTTTAATTTATAGTCAATTCAAATACGACCCATGATACGAAATTTTTTAAAAACTGCAACACAAACATGACACGCCCATTTCACTAGTTGACACGACACGACACGAAAATGACATGTGACACGAAATTGACCTGTAAACCCGAAATTGACACAAAAATTGTATACTTTTATTTAGTTTTTTTACGTATTATAAATAATTTAAAATTCATAACACACTAAAATACAATAACATCCATTGAAATTAAGCAAATAATAGTATAAGATTCTGAATATAACTAACATGATATCATAAGTTTATAATAAAATAAAAAATATGTAATGAAAAATATATGTATTTTTTAGTTTTTTACGAGTTTCGTGTCGTGTATGGGTTAGACAGATACAACCTGAAATTGACCCGTGTTTTTCGTGTCAATTTCAGGTCGATTCAAGTCTGATCCGAACCTCTTTTTTCTCAACCCCCACGAAATTTGTATCATTTTCGAGTTGTGTTGTCGTATTATGACTCAAATTACCGGCCTTATTTTTATATTTAAAATTTTATTATGGTATTTGTGCCACTACTTATAGCCATCCTTTTTTTTTCTTTGATAGTCTTTTACTTTTTGGCATTTTAATTACTTTATTGGGCTTTAACTTTAATTGACAACTATTTGATGACTTGATTCCTAATTTACACGGTGGAAATTGTAACCGAATAGTTAGATACAAAATACAATATTAAAAAATCCTTGTAGCTAAACTTTGTTGATGTTGAGTCTTTACAAATTTATTTTTTTTCTATTTTCTTTATTTTCTATTGCATAATACAAGTTTACAAACGCAAAAATTCTATTCCCCATTCAAAATAAACCTAAAATTCTCTCATCTTTTTTCTTTTGTTTCGTCACTTAAAAAATATATTTTTGATAGCATCGATAATGAAGTTATTATGCAATAATATTAAAAGATGAAAATTCGTCAAGAATAATTATAATGTGAACCTTACTTAATAAAATTTTATTGCAAAAATATACTAAAAAAGTTATTTTATTTTATATTGTTAATTTATAAACTTTATATTTATTTACAATTCATTAGATTAAAAGTCTAGCTACGTCCCTCAATTCAACTTTACCTTTTCCACCCACTCAAAACTGAAAACCACCTAGTAAGATGTCTCACTTCCTGTGATGCAAAACGTGTTTAGAGTAAAGTAGGGGGGGGGAAAAAAAAAAAAAGACAATGACTTGTTTTTGTTGATTTGTTCTAGTTAAAAAGTCCAATTTTCAAAGGTAAAAAATAAGGACCCATAACCATAAGACTAGGATAACTGGAAAACCACTTGGCAGTTTACAAGCACATTGTGGGATACATGTCATGAAACGTGTCCAACAATAAGTGTGCTAGTTAGTGAACGTCAATCATCAGAAAGGTATAACCTCAACTTCAATCGCTATGCAAAACTATATTCTAGAAATAAAAAATAACAATAATAATAATAATAGTAGATGATCCACGTTAGCGTATTTTGACATTTCCAAATAGAAAAATATAATGAGTCCCACTAAGTGGTTGACAATAACATAGATATGGAGCTCATCACTTTTGTCTCAATTCCTCATCCCTCAAGGAACCCCGTGAACCTAATGAGCTGGAACTTGACATTTCCCTTCTCTTCATTATTCCATCCCCAAAAACTAACTTAAGATATGTTCTTTTAGAGTGTATCTTGAGTGTAGTTTTTAAATTAAATTTGAGTTATAACTTGAGTTGAAGTTGTAATTTAAATTTGTGTTTGGTTGTTTACATTTGAGTTATGGTTTGATATAAGAATCTTTTTAAGTTTGTGTTTGAGTGAGTCAAAACTTAAATTTATATTTAAATAGTATTTTAATAAAAACTCAACGGTGATGAAAAATTTTAATAGAGTATATGGGTGAGATTTTATTCGTCTTTTCGTTGTCAACGCATAGAAAAAAATTTATCTCAATCAGGATTAAAACGAAAAAGTTATAGCATTTTTAAGAATAGAAAAAATACTGTTCATTAATTTGAGTTCGAGTTTCTGAACTCGAGTTAAAGGGGAAACTTAAACTCGAGTTTTAGTCCCAAACTCGAGTTCAAACTTAAAAGAACATGAATTTAAATAAAGTTGAAATTCGAGTTACATTTTCTTAAATTTTTAGGGCTACCAAACACACCCGTAATAATCTTTTCTTTAAATTCTTGTCACTTCTAAACTGATCATTTCACTAATTTAAATTTAAAATTTAAATTTTATTACAATAAAAAAACTTTTAAAAATAATTATATTTAATTTTTTTATTATAATAAAAAATACTCATATAAAATTATATCTTAACTCAAATTAAAAATTCCAATCAAACAAAAACTTAATCATTAAGCCAAAAGGGAAAAAATAAAAAAATTCTTCCAACACTCTTTTCCAAGAAACAGCAAATAATAAATAAATAAAAAAGAATTATGAGAATTTAACTAAAATTGAAATGAAGCAAGAAACGAAGAACAAATGGGTGTGTTACTGTTATTATCCCCTCCAATTACATACAAAGAAATCAATCCGCTCAACAAAATTGTTCCAAGATAAAGGAATTTGATATCTCATATGTAGGTACACATTTAAAAAAAAAAAAAAAAATCGAACAAAATATGATCATGAATCAAATAAAAGATTTTCACCCCTTTCCTCAATCTGTACATCAAAATCGAATTAATCTGTGGTAATTAAAACCAATGTAATGAAAGAATCATTATCATCATCGTAACAAGTAGTAACTCGAACGAGGACCGTCGATCATGATCGACGGCGACGATAGCGGAGAGCTGTTCTCGAGATACTTTGGCTTGCAGATTAGATCGTACGGCTCCCAAAGGCTATCAAGAGGACAAGGCTTTCCTTCATCGAGCCTCACCCATGGCTTCCCTTTCCCACTCCAATGCAAGAGACTGACCGGACCTGGATGCAACGACCGGCAACTTCCCCTCACATTGTCGCCGCCGAGGCCGTGCTGGTTCCACCGGTGATCGATCGCCTCAACATTACCTCCAAAAACCAGCAAAAATGGCGGCAGAGATCCCAAATCGTAGATCCTCTTCTTCTTTTGGACCTCCATCCAGTATTCGATCCTCTTCCTGTAGTTCCCCTCTCTCCACCTTACCAGATCCATCACCATAACACCGGTGTTGAAGTAGCAGGGCTTTCTTGACCTGAATACCCGGGAGATAACCGAGTCGGACCAGAACCCGTCGGTGAAGTAATTCGTGAAGTTGGCGTGGCAGTATTCCGGGGCTCCGATAACCCGGGAACCTGTGAGGGTGATGTTCCAGAGCTTGCGGATGTCGTCGACGACGACGACGTCTGAATCGAGGTAAATAACGCGGTCAACGCATGGGTCGAGAATATCGCCGAGGTAATTTCTCGCATAGTTTAGCGGGTTCTCGAGGGCTTCTCGGATCGAGGACGAGATGAGATTTATGACCGTGTCTTCTCGGAAGATGTAGACCTTGAACCGGAGGGAAGGAAACGTGGACCGGACGAGTTGAGCCAGGACTCGGGGACTCGCTGAGTCGAACTCGGCGGCGATGAAGTGGAAGAACACGTTGTTCGGGCACGAGGCGTGCTTGAGGACCGAGTGTACGGCGGCAACGGAGCCTCGGAGATACTCTCTGTCTAACGTCATCGCGATGTGAACCAGAGACCGGTCGCATGACGACGACGTTTTATCGCCGGAGATTGCGCACTCGGCGCCGTTTCGGTACTCAGGCGCCTCGGAGAATCGGAGGAGGAGACCGCCATTTCCGCCGGAAGTGGGGAAGTACCGAATCCCGAGAGAAAACGGCGGCGAGAGGATTGAAACGACGGCGGTGAAGAACAAAACGACGGATATTAATCTGAATGGAACCATCACTTCTTTTCTTTCCTTCTTGGATTCTTGAAAGAAATAAGAAGATTAAAAGAATAAAAAAAAAACACGTTTCTTTTAGTGCCGTCTTCTGCTACGAAACGCGGTTTTCCCTTCCCTTCCGAGATGGAGTGAGAGGGGGAGGGGAAAGGAAGGAGGGCCCGTTGGGTTTCTCTCTCTCTCTCTCTCTCTCTCTCTCAGACTCTCTCTGTTTCTCCTTCGGGTTCGTGGAAAATAAATTTCATGGCATTTATATATACGTTAGAGTGTATTGTTGTATAAATATACTTGTGATGATAATTGGATTCTCTTACTGTCTTTTTCTCTGCCTTGGTTTCTTTGCTCTCTTTTTCCCATTAACATAATAAGTTGGGACTTCTGTTAAAAGGTAAAGAAAGCCGGGTTTATATTTGTATGTGCGGCGAAACAGCTGGTAACGAAGGAAGGAATATTAATATGGAGTTGCTCTGTTTCCCCTTCCAATTAATGAAAAATAAAACATAAATTTGGCTCGTATTTCCATTTTGAAATTAGTATTTATTGCACTAACGTCTTTGGAATTAATGGTGTGACCTGACATAATTTTGATAAATATTTTTTATTTTTTATTTTTAATTATAATTTTTTTAATTAAATAATTATACTAATAAAATATGATAAATTCTCTATTTTTTTAATTAGGAGCGTTACTCACAATACGCAATTGGTAAAAAAATAATAGAAAAAAAATCCATACTTGATTTGGTTGTATTAAGACGCTTTTAAAAAAATGGTAAATCTTTTTATTATCTTTTTTTAAGATAATAATAAGACGCTTGTATTATTATAAAATAATAATTATTATTATAATAAGACGTTTGTATTCTAAACAAAATAAAAAATTAAGAAAAGTTCTTGTAGTTTACACTTCCCAGATCACAATGCAAAATAAAATAGGAAAGCAATATTCTATAAATAAAACAAGAATTTTGGAAGTAAAATTGGAAAGTTAGACTTATAAGAAAATTCTAAAAACATAACAAAAAGTTTAGGAAATAGAATATTTTACAAACAGAAAAAATTAAAATTATTAAGATAATTACTACATAATTTTAAGTATAAATGTTATATCTCAACTTCACTTTAATAAATTTGCATTATATATCGCGTAAATTAATACAAAAAAAATGAGAAAAGTCTATAATTTGCCTTGATTTTATTCATGCTTATTATTTATGTCATTTTAAATAATTGAGTGTTATTGTTATTTTTTTCATTAATTGAACGATTATTTATTTTTAAGTATAGTGATATAAATAATATTTTTAACTCAAGTGATATTTCTAATTTTTTAACTGAAAAATTTGAGATTAAAGTGTATATCCTTAACACTACTCTTAATTTTTGCAGATAAAGGCCAAATTTTCTCGTAACCTCCATTTAATAGGCCCTTAATTACGGCCCTTGACCTTGAGTCATTTTTTGCGCATTGGTGGATTTTAATTTTTTTTCTCGAGAATGTGAATAAGATGTTTTACTCGCTCATTCGAGTACGGCTTGTCGTCTAAAATTTCATTAATCCCTTGTTTATTAATTCTAAAAAAGTTACGTGAATCTAGAATTGGTAAGAAGAAATCAATGCCCTGGAATAATATACGCTTCAAGAACGTTCAATAGTGAAATGGAACTTATTAAGAGTCAGTTTGGCAGTGCTCTGTTAACTGTGTTAAAAAAAAAATAGTTGTTAAAAAAAATAATTAATTGTTTAGTAAACTATAATTATACTTAATTTTAAGGGTGTTATAGATATTATGAAAGTTTCATTAATTATACTTCAAAGTTATTACTGCACAATCTAAAAATTAAAATTACTTTTGAGCTGCTTCTGATTTTGACTGTAAATTCTTCAAAAAATTTTTAAGAATCATTTTTTATGATTTTTACTAAATACAAAATTTAACTAGCTAGAGAATTAATTTTTGTCTCTAAAAATTACTACCAAACATACCCTAAGTGTGACCTATAGCGGAAGAAATTGACCACTTCAACACCCAAAGACAAAGTCCGACTACTAAAGTTTCAGATCATTCAATTTATAACGAGAAGTCTTGATCATAACAATGAGAAATCCACCTCTTGTTTCATTCCTTATTAAATAGTGCGCATTAGTTTTAACGATGATTAATAACATAACAATTTACTTAGCTTGGTCAAGACTGTTTCATTGCTTATTTGATTTATTTAATTATTTATTAAATGGGTTATGGACACAAAACAGGCTAACAACAACTTCGAATTAACAATAACTTCCACCTACTAACAGCAACTTTGGTGTTGATAGAAAGTTCCAAGTATTTTTTATAGCAAAAACACCATAATCAATCCATGCCCATTACCGGAAAATAGATTAAAAAAATAGAAATGAAAATGATCTGGGTTAGGTGAGAGTCTCTACTTTCTACCGAAATATAATTGAACAAATTAATTTCATGGGGTAAATTTTTTTAAAAATAAGAGATTTTTCTTTAGTATGATGATGATCTATTTATTGATAGAGTCAGTTTTTAACTATTAAATTAAATTAAAATCACATTAAATTAAAAAAAATGCGTAAAATAAATTATTTTTAATAAAGACATGATAGATCAAGAGCCCGTTTAGTTCATAGATTAGAACCATGAGATTATAATCGTTTTTTATTTACGTGTGTTTTTTATGAGAGAAAATACTATAACGAATTATAAACTATGATTTGAATCAAAAAATGAATCCTCCAACCAAACGAACTTTATTCAATCCTACAAAAAAACTCTCGAACAAAATAAAAAATCTAGGGCTTGTTCTTTTGGAGTTTAACTTGAGTATAATTCTTGAGTTTAATTTGAGTTATAACTTGAATTGAACTTGTAACTTGAGTTTGTGTTTGGTTGTATACATTTGAGTTATGGTTTGAGATAAGAATCTTTTTGAGTTTGTGTTTGAGTGAGTCAAATTTGAATTTGTATTTAGATAGTATTTTAATAAAAACTCAATGCTGATGAAAAATTTTAATAGGGTCTATGGATCGAGTTTTATTCGTCTTTTCGTTGTCAACGCATAGAAAAAAAATCATCTCAATCAGAATTTAAACGAAAAAGTTATAGTATTTTTAAGAATAGAAAAAATACTGTTCATTAATTTGAGTTCGAGTTTCTAAACTCGAGTTGAAGGAAAAACTTGAACTCGAGTTTTAATCCTAAACTCGAGTTTGAACTCGAGTTTAAACTCAAAAGAACATAAACTTAAATAAAATTGTAACTCAAGTTACATTTTTTTGAGTTTTTCACTCAAAAAAATAAGTCCCTGTAAACTCTTTACTATAACTATGAGCATAACGAAAAGCACAACCACTTTAACCACTTTATTTGTTTTTATTTATTATTTTTCATTTGCTTTTCGTTTTTATGAGTTTTGTTTGATTCAGCCAGTAATAAAGTGCCAGCTCACGAAAGGGCGAAACAGAGGTGCACGGCTCAGCAGCATGGGTGGTGACAGAATTCATATTACTTTTATTTTTTATTTTTTTATTTTTATTTTTTATTTTTGCTGTGTGGTCTCTTTAATGTGTGTTGGAATAAGTAATCGATCCAAAAACAAATAATCGATCAAGAATTATAAAAAAAAAAAAAAAAAAAAAAAAATTTGGTTAATAACGAAATAATGAATATTCTTTTGCCTCCGGTGGTGAAATGCCAGCTGTGCGTCCAAAGTGGCCAGCTGTGGCATATGGTTTGAGTGTCATTGATGTTGACGGCTGCGATCAGCCTGGCGAAGAAGTTGATTGGCTCAACGTCCCATGTGATCACGTGCTCCCCAATTTCGAGTTTTTGCCAAATGGAAAACCACTGCACCTTTGTTTTCCCCTCCTTTTGTAATTTCGGTGCCTTGTAATAGGAATTTCAGATACAAAAAAAAAAAGAAAAAGAAAAAGAAAAAAAAAAGTGCCACCCCACGATGCACCACACCGTTATTTATTTTGGGGGTTTTTTTTTTTTTTTTTTTTTTTCCGAAATGGATTTATTTGCCTTTCTTAATTAGTCAAAACACCTCCCCTCCTTGATTTTTTTTTTAAAAAAAAAAAAAAAAACACTCCCCCTCTATTTTACGTTTAAGTCGAATAAATTTTATTTTTCCTGATCAAAGAACTTGTTTTCCCTAAAAAAAAGTAAAATACCCTTTTTATTAATCCCCAAAAAATAGAGTCAATATGACAAATCGTTTTTCACGATATTCTCTGTGGATTTATACTCACTCTCTCTTTTTACACATTAATATTAATATAACATTAACACGAGAAAAACAGATTTACAAGAGAATGTACTAAAACTGAATTTGTGAATCAATAGTGGCATATTTTGTAGAATTTAAGAAAATATATAGTTGCACTTTTTTTTTTTTTTTTGAAGCAAGGACTTGCTATTTGCACTTTAATATTAGTTCAAAATACGAGTTACAAGCAACGTTTTTTCCCCTTTAAGTGGGAGTCTCTCTCTTTTAGATGATTGTAGTTATTTTCTAAAGTATATATTTTTCCCTTGGGTTGATAAAAGCCGAATAACCCGAACAAAATATTATAAACAATTTTCGGATGCTAAAATAAATTGCTACAGCTTTCCATTTAAAAATATATTAATATACATGTGTTGGTTTTTTTTTCTCTCCTATATTTTCGAGGTTTGGTTAGTTGGTGATATAAATGCTATTTACTCCGTAATTTTTTATGCATATCCTTGAGATTCTTCTTAAGCTTGAGGGAACGTAATATTATCTTTTTATTTTACCTTTTGTTTCCACTAATTAATGTTTGGTAAAACGAAATAAAGTTTTCTTACTTTTTGTGTGCATAGTAGAAATTAGCATTAGCGTAAAAGTCATCCATATTTCATGCCATAGTTGAGTATACGTGAAGGCATACGCTAAAATTCCTTACCAACATGGCTCGTCTACGCAAATTCTCTTTCTTTTTCTTCCCTTTTTTATTCTTCTTTTAAAAAATAAAAAAAAAACTTTTAATGAATAAGTGTATGTGGAATAGTGAACTTTTCGGCTGCAACAATGATTGGCACAAATTATAAATCATCACACGCATAATATATACACATAATATATCACGTTTGGTTTATGGATTAGAATGATAAAATTATAACTATTTTCGATTTACGTGTATTTTTTATAAAAAAATACTGTAACGAACCACAAACTATGATTCGAATCGGGGTACGAATCCTCTAATCAAACAATTATTAATAGGAGTGGTACTTGTATGCATGTCAAAAAGGAGTGGTACTTGTATCGCACAAAAACAAATTAAATAACAAAGCAAAATTAATTTATTCATGCT